CTTCCTTATTCCTCTCCCTGTGCTACCCAGACGCATACCTTGTAATTCTAATTTAGCCTTTATTTCATTCTGCTTTGAACTGCATTACTTTTCTGACATAGCTGTGTCTTGGAAGAGGTCTCTGGACAATCTCCTTCAGGAGCTAGCTCCTTCCCGAAAATCATGTTACAACAAGACTTTAGACTTGCTTTCTTTAGCCATCAGACTGTCCTACACATGTATTGAGACAAAAGGCTGGCTGATGAAGCTTGGTTGCTGAATAGCAGCTTACTTGTAGGCCCCAATATTATGTTTGAAATGTAAACCAAGGGACTAACTTTTTGCCATATATTTTTAATAGGATTGGTGGGCCATTGAACCGGGGCGGCCCAGGCCCTTAACGCTGGCCTTTCTTTATATGAGTCAGGACTACACCACTGACCCTGTGAAAAGGGAGGGCCCTCCGCAGGGTAGCGCAAGGCAACAGGGTGTGTGGGCTCTGGCTCGGAGACCCCTACTCTTCTCTGATGGCGCAGTGTCCTCCATCCAGAAGGACTGGAGGTGGCACTCAAGTTTACTGGAGTGTTACCCATCCCTCATGGGAGTACATAAAGATCCACTCTTTCTGAGAACAAAGAACCTGCTTCCAATTCTATCCCCAGAGCTAGATAGTAGGTCCTTAGAGATGCAAACTGTGCCCTAGACTGTAAGATTATTGAGAGCAAGGATCATGTTGTATGCATACCTCTACCCCCTACATTCTAGTATCAAATATTGAACAGATCTTAAGGAAACTCAAATTTCAAGTAATTCTGATGTGGTGAATTCTTTCATCAAAATAAAGTAAGTATACAGTTGACTCTTCAGCTTTAATGAAAAGCAGATAGGGATAGCTAATAAACAAGGAGAATTAGCAGAGCCTTAATCAATTCTGCGTGAAGCTTTATAACCAATAGCCTATGTAGCTGGAAGGAGTGAGCCATGGATGGGTTCTTACAATGTTTGCCTAGAATCTGCGGTATAAATCAGAAATACTTTTCAAATCAAATGTAAAGTTCCAAAATGAACAAAAATTAAAAAAAAAAATACCCCCAGTGTCTACTTTTGGGAAAGAGAACATTTTAATAATGCTAGATATTCCCCATAAATTCTTTGCATTCATGTAAAATCAAGTCTTTCTCTATATGTAATGCCCTTAATAACACAGTATGAATATTACAATCATTTCTTATAACTCATTGATTTAAAAGCTCATTTTCCATTCAAATTCAATGTTTTGACCATTTAAATAGCAGTTTACCTGAGTACACCTAAAGTTATATACA